GAGGCTGGTGGGCACGGACCAGATTCACAGCCGTTCCCAAGGGCAGAGGGAGGGAGGAAGAGGCAGACATTGCTTAAGGGACACAACATTTCTGATAAAGGAGATAAAAATATTTGGGAAACATGTAGTGGCCATGGTTGCATAGCATGATGAACATATGAATGCCGTGAACCATACACATTTTAAAAAAATGTTGAGATGGCAAGAGTCTTGCTGGATGTTTTTACCACCAGAGAAAGAGAGAGAGAAACAAGTGCCGGTTCTCAAGTTGAACTTGCCAAGCACCTGCCCTCCTGGTGCCCTGCGCCTGGTGCTGCGCCCCTGAGGCCACAGGCCGGAGGGCCCCACCAGGTCCCTTCTCCTGGAGGCTGCAGCAGGCCTCCTCTCCCATAACCCTATGCCCCTTCCCGAAACCCCAGTGTCACTTAGTTGAGGGCTAGTTATCAGCGGCTTTTCGAACTATCGCTGCATTGGGCAGAGGTCATTCTGGATGACTGTCACCATTCCCTGGGAATTCGCCTTGGGGCAGACACGGCGGGGTACCTGCAAAGCCATGACGTTGCCCAAATTCAACACGTAAGGAAACAGAGACTCAACAAGGTGAGTCCGTTCCCCACGACACATCCCTATCAAGTTGGGAGGACCACAGTCAAGCAGCAGGTCATGCATTGGGCAGCCCCCAGAGTGGTCAGCAGTTCTAAACCACCAGCCTCTCCGAGGGAGAAAGACGAGGCTTCCTGCCCTCTGGGAAACCCACAGGGACAGGCAGGTCTACCCTGTCCTACAGGACCCAGACAAGTCAGAATCAACTCGATGGCAGTGAGCTCATTTTAGTTACCCAGTGTTGGGGCTAAGATCCTAACCAGAACTTTCTACTTTCTGACACACACATCGTTTTTTCCCTGCTGCCGCAGCGAGAGAAACTTTCGGGAGCGGGTGGGGGTGTGTGTGAAGATTTTTTTCTGTAAGCCTACAACTTTTTTTAAGTGTATTAAAAGCAAACAAATACTCTCTGGACTAGTTGGCAGCGAGATGGCCAAACACACCAGGAAGGTCAGGATCGTGGGCAACTAAGGGACCCAGTGTGGTGCCTCCCTGAGGGAAATGGTGAAGAAAATTGACATCAGCCAGCATGCCAAGTACACTTGCTCCATCTGCAGCCAAACCGACTGAAGAGACGCTCCATGGGCATCTGGCACCTTGGTTCCTGCAGGAGGACAGTGGCTGGTGGGGCCGGGACCCCCAACACCACCTCTGCTGTGGCAGCAAAGTCCGCCATCGGAAGACTGAGGAATTGAAAGACCAGGAGAAGCTCCGCTACCTGAAACCTCTCTGGCCCGTAATAAATGGGCTAATTTACGTAATGGCTTAAAAAGAAGGCGAAGAAGAAAACAAACAATTGTTCAGGATTTGGGATTTGAACGGATTCAAAGAGGGCTGCCCCAAACAAGGCGGATTCTCACGGGTTTCTTCGGCCCACGAGTTGCGGGGATTTCGCCCGCATCACTAGCTGAAGTGCAACTGCCTGCACTCTTCGAGTGAAATACGAGATTCGCTTATTTCTTGTTAACCAACCAACAAGATCAGTCATTTGAGAGAACGTTTATTTTCAACGGTGTGTTACCGTTGACTCATCACAGGTCTTGGCTGCTAACTAAAAATTCAGCCCCTTTCAAACCCGCCAGCCGCCTATGTGGGCGA